CATACATGTATTTCTACTATGATTCTAGCTGTTGTCCTGGAGTTCTACTTTTAAATGTCCATATAATATTTAAAAAAAAATATAGGGCACCCGGACATAATTTTTTTTTTTTGTTTTGGATTTGCACCCTGCTTTAGAGAGTTAGAAAATCAGAATAAAGGGCAATATTTATTTTGTTTTAGGCCATACTCCTAATATTGCTGTGTGAACAAATCTATTTTGATAGAAGTACTTTAGGCTTGACTACCTATTAAGAGGATCTCTCTGCCTTCCTGCTGTACTCCATTTGAATGCGCACATATACACATTCCCAACCTGCCTTTGTTACCCCGATGGGGCTGTGATCTTCCAGTGCTGCGTGGGTTAATATGAGCAGTTTCATCTGTCAAACGCACACGTAAAATGTGATGCCTATGTCATTTTCACAAAATGGGACTTGATCCAGTTAGGCAGAGTAGACTAACTAGAGCTGACAGTGTTCTATTACCATGAACTTCTAGTTGAAGTCAGCAGTAAGCCAGTGAAACGGATGGTAAAGCAGAGTTCAAAGACTGCAAGGGATATCTTATGAACCTGGGAATGTGAGTTTCCACTGTAAACAGAAATCCCTAATGCACCGTACACATTATAAGAAAATCGGACAAACGGTCGTCCGGTTATCATCGATTGTACGCTGCTGGTTGAAAGCGATGTGCTTATTGTACGATATAAAGGCATTGCGTACGAACATCGTAGCGTAGCTGTGGAAATGATGTAATGTACGTGTGATCCTGTAGCCACGCCTTTCGGTGCCATATTTTGTTTTCCCTCAGTGACAGATCTTTCGTGACAAATTTTCGGAATAGTCATGGATACCGTATCTGAATGTTCTGAAGATACTGCAATTGCCATTATGGGTTTTGGAATTCTGGCCATACAGAGGCAACAGAGGAAAAAGACAAAAAGGAGGCTTTGGTGCAAGAAATGGCTACTGAGGCGTGGCATTTTCTTCAGGTTCTTCCGGGTCATAAGCAACTTCCAATTATGCGTGGTCTTTCGTATCCGATTCTCGTACAAAAACTGTACACATTAAATAAAAATCGTTCGTTCTGTTCCCAAACGACAAAAATTTTGATGTTTGCAGTATCGTTAATTTTCGCTGGTAAGAACGTAATCGGCTGTCGAAAATGATGTACACACCATCAGAAAATTGCACGATTGCTCGTCGGACGAATACGTTCGTCCGATTTTCTTATAGCGTGTACGGGGCATAAGAAAGAGATGCTGGAGGTGGTTGTTTATTTATTTTTGTGTGTGTGCATTGACTGCTTTTCTCTTAAGATTTCCTCAGTCCTCAGAAGATTGCTTAGCTGCAATAGGAAGGATTAACCGTGAGAACAGATGTTATGTTGCGGTCACAAGTCTTCTGTAAAGCCATTTTTATTTTAAAAAGGAGATTGTGTTCTTCTACAGAGACAGGGCTAGCTTTCAGCCTTTTATTGGATTGCTGTGCTGTATAGTAGTTCTGCCTAAACTCTGTCTTCATATTTTGTCTGCTTGTTAAGGGAGATGCAGTATTTCTAACAATGGCAAGAATCCTTGCACAAAGCGTCCCTACTTGGTGTGATTAAGGCTCGGTTCACACTACTGCGACCTGAAAGCCGCCCCTTTGCCAGGTGACTTCATGGCGATTTGCTTGCAATATTAGTGCAACTTTGATGCGACTTTAATGCATGCAACTTTGAAGCGCTCACTGATTGCATCTATCTTTATACCCAGGCAAACCATAGCGGCTATAGCATGTAGGCAACCAAAAATTAAACCTCATAAGTATAAAAAGTGCAGCGCTAAAAGTAAATTATATACTCCATTAAAATATGTAATAGTATGTTCTCCAAGTCAGATGAATAATAAAATGACACGATAAGAAAATACTGAAAATGAATTAATTAAATTAATAAATAAATTAGTGACAGTTTGTAATGTGTGATATTTACAGGAGTTGCTGGTGACTTCCTGATTCAGTGGTCTGGTGATGAATAGTGAAAATGTGCACTCACCGGATGCGTATTTTCAATACACATGTGATACATATACCAGAGGTCCCCCTCATGGGATGGGATGGACAAGCTGGGCCGTCTTAGCGGACTATCCTTCCTCTGGGTGTAGAACAGCCAAACCGTTGTCTCCCTCTAGGAAATGTTTGGGGTACTGGGCAGTCTACATCAGGGCATGCGTCATCCTTAGGGTGGTATCATGTGTCATAGACTCCTGATGCTTGGGCTCTGGAACAGATGTAAGGCTCACCAAGGAGCCAGCAAGACATAGCCCATAGTGTAGTAGTTTAAAATTGGCGTTTATTAATCCCCGTGGTAAAATAGACAAAAGCAAGTAAAAAAACAATTACCGACCAATGTACAATAGATGTCACGGCGTGCAGGCCCCTTTAACGCGTTTTGTGCGATAGCACTTCATCAAAAAGGCATGGCCACTGTGCCCGGGTTATCTTCCTGTAATGTCAGATCCAAATCACATCAATCTAATTGAAGATCCGACTTGAAGACGGCTTCCATTAAAGTCTATGGGCACAAGTCGGATAGAAGTAGTAAAGCAACCTTTCTAAAGTTGGAGCGACTCCAGTAGTGTTAATTAAGACCGCTCTCATTGACTAACATGGGATTTCACATGTCGTGCAACTTGGGGTCACACAAGTCAGCAAGTTGCAGCAGTGTGAACCGAGCCTTATGGGTAGACAACTTTTAATATTGGGTGGTTGGCCTTGTGTTTTGCAGACTTTCAAAACAAACCGTATAATTCATGTCTTCAGACAATCGCATATTGTGTGAAAGGTATTGGGCTTTTTGAGTCTGTGCAGGGCTACTCTCCAGTTATTTTGTAGTACAGAAGCCTTTTAGTTTAAAAAGAAAACTTTTACTTTTTCTGACTGAGCCAAATCCTCCATTCCTGTCTCTTATGCTCCTTTCCCCAGACACTGCAGCTCACAGTATGGGAGTTTCAGCAAGAGAGGCAATCTAGAAAGTAGCGGGCAGGACTAGGTATGGTAAGGTGCTGATTGACAAGCCACAGGCCCAAGTGACCATTTCTCATCCCAGTGTAGTGCATGTAAGCACAGCCTACATGAGTGGGAACTCTGCTCTGAATTCAGGAGCAGTGCAGCACCATTGCCACAGCATCACAGGAAGCTGCTTTGGGTGGACTTCACTGGCAGGATCAGCAGGTATTTGTGAGACTTTGCAGGGGGTACCAAGGGAAAACTTTAAGTTCAAATGCACTTATAATTAATTGCTACAGCACATATTTAATTTTTTTTTCAATCGCTGGCCATAGTTCTTTTTTAAAAAAACAAGTTCACCTTTTATTGGCAGCACAGTGGCTAAATGGTTAGCACTTCCGCCTGGCAGTACTCGGGTCATTAGTTCGAATCCCAACCATGGCACCACCTGCCTGGAGTTTGCATGTTCTCCCTGTGCCTGCGTGGGTTTCCTCCGGGTACTCCAGTTTCCTTCCACACTCTAAAGACATGCTGATAGGTTAATTGGTTTTTGTCTAAATTAGCCCCAGTATGTGTATGTATGAATGTGAGTTAGGGACCTTAGATTGTACACGCCTTGAGGGTTAGGGACTGATGTAAATGTACAATATATATGTAAAGTGCTGCATAAATTGATGGCGCTATACAAGTACCTGAAATAAATGTAAAGAAATTTTTTTTTTTTTTTTTTTACATTGGAGCCTGTAAAGCAGGGGTTCTCAAACTATGGCCCATGGGCTGCATCTGGCCCGCCAAAGTTATTCACCCGGCCCGCTGGGCTGGCCGAAAAAAAAAAAAAAAAAAAAAACTGCGCCAGCAAAAAGCTAGGCTGCTCTTTGGGTCCTTGGCTGTGAGGACCCAGCGAGCAGCAGCCTGGTGAAGAATCCCCTCCTGATTTCAGGCTGATTTCTCTGCAGCCAGAGGAGCAACAGGAGAAGAGGAGAGCACACCAGGTACAATGCAGAGTCCAGTGCGTTACAGTGTCCAGGGCATTTTAAATATTGTATTGTTTTTTTGCACTACAAATAAGATGTGTGTGTGCATAGGAATTTGTTCATATTGTTTATTTATTTATTTATTTTTTTTAAAACCTATAGTCCGGCCGACCAACATTGTGAAGGTCAGTAAACTGGCCCCTTGTTTAAAAAGTTTGAGGACCCCTGCTGTAAAGCATTGCACTTGTGATCAGCAGACTCTTGGTACACTGTATCCCCATACCTCATACGGGCAGGTAGCTACTGAATTGCAGGAAGAATCAATAAGGGCATCAACTATACTTGTTTCATTCATTCACTGAACTCTGTGAATGAATGGCGTGGCCGGAGTCCCGCACGGCCGCAATGGTTTTCAAGTTGTGACTGCGGGTATGGGAAGAAGATCCCTCACCTGCATGTCACAGGGAGGTGAGGATTGGGGGAGGGGGGAATGGATGGAGAAGATGTTTTACATGTTCCAACCTAAATACATGTTCCAAAGGTGAACTTGGCCTTTAATTAGTAAAGGACTGTACAAAACATCTTTAAAGTGAACCTATGAGGATCGAAATGTGTCTCTACCCTGGAACAAGCATGCAGCCACTGAAGTCTGAATCCCCAACAGCATGCTTGCTGGATCTGCACCTCAATTTTAGTCAAGGCTGCTGCCATATTTCTATTCTCACTAATGCACTTTAATATTAAATCTTCCCATGAATGTGGTGATTATACGATTGCTAACAGATAATTAGGCAGGAGCGGTTTTCTTGTAAGGGCAAAAGTGACATACTAATGCCATTTATTAGCCAATGTAATCAGCAGGTAGTCACTGCATCAGTGTCTTCTTGGTTTTTTAACCCATTCAGTGTGCCACTGATAAAGCTCACTGGTGCACAGAATGCTAGCTCATGTTTGTGGATGATGGATTACTTGTTACAGCTTTTGTTGTCCTAATTATCTTTACTATTCTAAACCTGATTTTATTTTTACAACAGCTGACAACCGCAGTAAGAAACGCGTGGGTCGTCGTCAGGACAAAAAGGATTTCTCTGTCTTCAAAGATCCAGATCACGAACTGAGAGTTAAAATTTCCCCTCAGCTGCTGCTTGCTGCCCACCGGTTCTTATCCACAGGTGAAAACATACCTAACACGCGTTGATTGCCTCTTCCTCTGTGGTAGGCTTCTTCTTACTCCTGCGTTGTGATTTTTCTGACCCCAGTCCCCATCTCTTATTGCAGAGGTACCATTGTTTGCATCTAGTTTGGTTTCAGAGAAGACGCTTTTACGTCTTCTCAAATACCCAGATGTGGTGCAGGAGCTTCATTTTGATGAGGATGACAAAAAGGCACCAGAACACTTCCTGTACCAGCGCAACAAGATGGCGGACTACTTTATCCTAGTCTTACAGGTATGTTCGGAAGCTGCCTGGATAAATGTTGATAACTACATTGTTTGGCTATGGTTTGGGAATGTGAATTTATAAATTTTACAGCTGAATTCTGTGTGGATAAGTAATAAGGGAGCTGTTCATCTGTTCACTCTTTTTGTTCAGGGGAAAGTTGAAGTAGAGGCTGGCAAGGAGAATATGAAATTTGAGTCTGGGGCCTTCTCCTACTATGGTGTCATGGCTTTGAGTACACCTTCAGCAAGTGGTGAGTATATCTTTTGTATCTGGTGTGCACAGTAGCCCAGACAACACACTCGTGGATCTTGAGTATTAAAGCCTTCGAAAGAACAACTGTCCATACAACTTTGTGCTTTCAAGGCTTTTTTTTTTTTTTCCCCTGAATTCCAGCTTCCCTATATATCATTAATGTACCTCTTTTTGCCGGGAAAAAAAAAAAGCTGTCCATATGTCCTAGGACAGGCATTCCCTCAGCCTCCCAGTTTGTTGTATAAAAAAAACTCCATTTCTTCCTGGTATCCATCCCTTAGGTTAGGTTAACCATTAAGACATAGGAAGGAGTTCAGCAGCTGACCTTTATTAACACCCACCCTGCACCTGCCCTCCCCCTCCAAGAGATTGCTCCCACCTCTGTACTCTCATACAATCAATGTCAACTAACAACATTCTCACTGCATACAAACCCAGGCTCTTCCTTGTTTTGCACCTTACCTCCTTCTTGCTTTGATTGTTCATTTGGCAGAGTGTGCCGGAGTTAAGCAATCACAGCCTATGTGGAGCAGAGTTGTAGTACAGAAAACAGCAGAAGTGTGTCCCTGGAAGTCTATAAAACTCACCATACTCCTCCTTTAGCCCTACCATCAGCTATGTAGTGCAAGGGCCTGCCTGATTGGATACAGAGTGATTGGATAGATGGTGTGTGCTCCTATTACCTGGTTTTGGCAAATCTAAAGATTGTATAGTGTATGGCCATCTTTATACTCCTAAAATGGTACAATCAGATTGTATAGTGTATGGCCACCTTTATACACCTAAAATGAACTAGTTGTGCTTTTGGTGCCATTAATTGTTAACAGCTTCCCAAATGTAGAAGTGTAAACAAATTTCGTCACGTGAAACGAGCGACAAACGCAGCAAAATGCACAGTAAAAAAATATGCAAACTGCAACACGCTAAAATGTCTCATGAGCTACTTTGCCATGTGTAGCCACGTGAAATCAACGGGCTCTGCTTTGCGTGTCGCAGGAAAAATGAGCCAAAAAAATTGCACGCTCATTCTAGATGTGAATGGGGCCTGAATATAAAATTGTTTACACAAGAACAATGAGTTTTCATTCACATCTGCTCGTTTCTGAACGTAAGAAAAACTTCACAAAACACATGCGCTTTGTGTGTTTTGCAAATCGAGCTACAAACGCGCAACGCAATTGCAGCACAGTTAAATGTTGAAGGCACCCCAAGCGCAGGTGGCAGGTGTGCGTCTGCCATGTGACAGATACGCTACTATTGCACCAAAAAGCGCAATAAAGTACATGCCATGCTCTGCTCGGAAAAAAAGTTCTGGAGCTTCTTTGGAGCATTTGTTGCGAATAGGGCAACAAATTCAGGTGAATGGGCTATCCCATGCATGGCAAGTGGAAATGCTCCCAAAAGAACCATGTGTGGGAACGATAGTTCCCTCTATGCGGAGATGTAAATGGACTCTGACGGCTCTCCATCCATGCCCTCCTAGGGAGTCGTATGAAGATGGGCATACGCAATGCAATCAGATTGTACTATCTCTGTTTCCTATAGATTTACCAAAACTATGGAATATGAAGACCCACCTGAACAATCCATTCAATGTGTATCAGATCAGGCAGGCTCTTGCATTACATAGCTGATGGTAGATCTAAAGGAGATTGTACAATCAGTACAGAAAGTGGGTGGAAATAAAGTAAGAGGTGGTATAGCAATGAGGGATGTGGGGTCCAGACAGGTAAGCATACCCTATTACGTGATGCGCTAAGACAGTGCATGATGGAAGATGATCTACAGGAAGTGATGGAAGCAGAAAGCCCTTTTTTTAAAAAAAAAATTAAAAATAAACCTGAAAATTGAAAGCTTCTGTGGATGAGGTAAGCGAGAGAGAAAAAAAAATTGTGATGGCTGGGGCAGAAAGGACATTAGAATAGGTTTCTGTTTATTATAAAATGTGAAATTTCACCTGAAAAGGTGAACATACCCTTTCATTCTGCCAGTGCATGTGTGAAAAGGAATGGAGGTTGATTGCTGTTGGCAATACAAACCATTCTTCTTTCTAGTACATAATTCAGTTGCCCATTATTATTTGTTCATTCTTAGAGTGCTTATTTAGAAAGTACTATTGCATATTAGGCCTATGGAGAACATCTTGCAATAGTGGGAACTAATCTAGATGATAGAGAAACAATGTTGTTAGATCGGCTTCTGTTGAGTGGGAGCAGCCACACATGGATCGAAATTCAGCTGGTCCCTGCTGAACCGGCCAAATTTCAATCCACCTATGGCCAGCTTAAGGTAGCAGTGTCTGTCATTGCACCTCTTTTAATAAAGTCTGTTTTCACAGTAATGGTGCACTATGGGGGGATAGGTAGGAAAATCCAGTTGCTCTTGGCTACAGCGAGAATTCTTCAAGAGATTGATTAATAAATGAAGCCTATTGTGCTTTCCATTCATTCTTCACATCTAGCAGTGCCTACAGTGCCGAAAGAATACAAATCCTAGTACTGCTTCCTCCTCATTTCCCCATGTCTTGTCTTTCCATCCTCTACCAGCTGCTCCCGTCCTCCTCCTTCCCTAAAAAGGGGCTCTCTGTTTTCAAGGCTAGCAGGTAATCTACATGCATGGACAATGTGTGCACGCCATTTACACACACTTCTGAAGTGCCTTTATTTGGTGGTGTGTGATACTTTCTGCACAGTGCAGTACTGGAGAATAGGTGTGTGTGACATTTTTGAGGTGCATGCATTTATTATGCAAGGTGTGTTTTTATCACTTAACCCTGACACACTGGGAAACAGTTCTCTTTATGACTAATCCTGAAGGCATTAATGTTGCTTGAGTGTTTATTATAAAGCTTTATATTGACTCATAACTAAATGTTTGCTTGTAGCCACTGGTTTTTACTGACTTTAGTCTGTAGATGCCATATGGTCCGCATCATACTGGCAGACTCTGAGTACATTGTATGTCATAACAGCAGACTAAGGCCATTGTCACACTAGATATCTTTTTAGCAGCTACAAAATGGTTATTTTTTTGCACTTCTATTGCTAAGAAAAATAGAAAAGAAAAGTTGACACCTCTACTGAAGTCCTCTAACATTTTTCATCCAAAACCAGCTTCTTCATAGAGATAACTATGTTTGAGGCCCCTTTCACACAAGGTGGACTCCTTTCTTATCAGCAGGGGATCTGTCTGCTGATCCCCTGCTGAGCAGAGCTGGAGGATGACCGGTCCATGTCCACTCAGTTTATGCAGAGCGGACATGGACAGAGCCTGTTTTGCTCTATGTGTGGTTGAGTGTAACAGACTCAGCTGTCCATCTACACCCAACTGCCCTCCTATCTGATCCGCCTAGACAGAGTAGGATGGATTTTTTGTTTTTTCTTTTTTTAATGGATCGGAGGTTGGTGGGTGAACACGGACACAAGTCCGTTTCACTCCTGCTGTCCATAAGGGTGAATGGAGGGACCAATCAGGTCCTCCTGAAAACTTACAGGCGGACCTAGCCAGATCGCCTGTGTGAAAGGGGCCTAAGCCGTTTGGGTGAAACTCGTTAGAGAGAATAGAGCTGTAGTGGGGTGAATGTCGTGTGCCCGAACAATTAATTTGTCCATGTTTTGAGACTAATTGGAATGGGGCCACGATCTTTTTTGCTTTTTAATGAAAGGCATGAGTTGCTTGGAATACCAAGTGATTTATATCTGATTTACTTTTTGTAGCATTTGGAGATGGCAACAGAATTTCCAGCTTCAGTATGTAGCTGGTATTGAGCATGGCACACCAGCATTTTTTTAACTTTGTAAAAAAGCATTGGGGTCAGTTTCGGCAGCAATTCTGTATCCAGCTAAAAATCACAAAAAAAGACATATTCATAAATTCCTGCAAATTTCTGCTACAGATATGATAGTGTGACATGGCTCTTAAAGTGCTACTGCAGCCAAATCTGTGTTCTGTTTTTGACCGATAAACACAAATCCTGTCCTGATTGTATTGTTGTTTGTCTGTCAGACCCCCCACTGCTGATCTTTACACCCTTGGACAATATGTGTGTGGACAGAGGGGGTCTGTCAGGCAGGTAGACTTCTTTTGACCCTTTCTAAACACCATGTAATACTGGTACTTTTTAAACAAAAATGTCCTTGAATGTAAGCCCTATATTTCCAATTTGACAGCATAGTCATCATGTGCTTGTGTGCAAGAATCCCACTATATGGTGCAAATAATTTAATAATACAATTACTTCTCACCTGATACTTTCTCCTAGGGGCGCTCTGCAACATCCTTATCCAATCATTATAGTCTACCTCATAAAAAATTGAGGATGTGCTGACTTTCAGCATTTTTGCAGAGTGGTGATCAGAGAACAGAAGCATTCTTCTAATGGGAACAAGATGCCAAGAGCTAACAGTTTACAGTACATTAATCACTTCCATACCGGGCACTTTTTCCCCCTTCCTGCCCGGGCCATTTTTCAGGTTTCAGCACTCTCACACTTTGAATGACAATTGCGCGGTCATACAACATTGTACCCAAACTAAAATGTTATCATTTTCTTCTTTTGGTGGTAGTTTTTGGGGGAGGAGGAGCCTAACTATGGCGGCAGGTGAGAGCGCGATGTGAACGCTCTCCACAGGATAGCCACTCTCCCTCCCCAAATGTTCCCCGATTTTCACGGGCGAGAGGGGCCCCCCGAAGAGAACTTCGAGGACAGTGCTGCAGGAGTTTACGGACGAACTCCTTGGGGGACGGACGAGACAGAGCTGACGCGGGACAGTCCACGTGATCTCCCGAAAGGGAGCACAGAGAGGCCGGCCGGTTCTCCGACACAGGGGGAGAACCGGCTTCCTCACTGACAGGACACGTGTGTACCGGCTCAAGCGTCCCGGTATTTGGCTGCTCTCCAGTGGAGTCAGAGAGACACGTTGTCTTCCGTTTTTGACCGGATGGAGAGCCCTCCTTCAATCGAGGGGAAGAGGAGTAGAGCCAGAGCAGAG